CCAAGGTGCGATCTTCTTCACCCCCCTCCCCCATGCAAATCTACACCCCTCCCTCATTGTTCGCAATCGGCAAAAGAGGATATCTTTGAAAAACGCGAAAGCTAAGCCAACCAACCCCTCCATCCCCATCGTCCACTCGGTCAAAATCCCCATAGAACGGACCAAGGGGATGTTCCTCTGACCCCAATGCTTGAGCATCTCTCCTTTTGGACGGGGTTCTCCCATTGTTGTAAATCTCTTAAAATAACGCATAGGGCACATGGAATTTAGCCACCCTCGAGCCCTCGACTTTTGACGGGACTCCTAAGAGTTTTGCATTTTTAATTTGCGATAAGATCTTCCCACTGCCCGCGCGAGAGGCTACCTACCCTTAAAGCCATTCCACTTGGGGGATGACTTGACAGTCTGTTTCTTCGTGCCGAACTCAAAGAGCTTTCTCGCCCTTAGCCAGTCCTCTTAGCCATTGCGTCACATAGGCTAACCTTGGCCTGGAACGTTTCCATACGAGCGTATGCACACGTACGTGCAGGGTGCGTCATGCAGGGAAACCGACTTCGGTATACGGTAAACTTCATCCCCTAGCGCCATACGGACCTTCCTGGATCTCGTTCGGCCCCCGAGAGTAACCAAGTACCTTTCACCTCGGAGAATTCATCTTCCTACTTTCAGCCGCGTCCTTCTCTCGGCCCTTTCGTGAAATCCAAGCAGCACCGCCAGTGGCCGCGACGTCGCAGCCACCAAGGCAATTTGCGATCTCAATAAAGTGCAGCCAATTCTGTGGGCGTCGGCGTCGTTTTAGGAGAAAAAAAAAAACAAAAAACAGAAAAAAAAAAGAGAAAAAAAATGGCAAGTGGCACCTGACGGTATGCACTGCCTCTATTGGACGTAGGAAACACAGGGTGGCATATCGGTGAAGGCAGTAAAAATATTGTGGTGCGGTTGAGCCGCTGGAGCTACGATGAGCGCGGAGAGGACGGAGGGGGACAATGGGGAACGAGAGCCGAAAGGAAAGAGGGGTGAAAAAAAATGCGTAACTTCTTTGTGAGGATCGGTGAGACGATGCGGCCGATCCACAATGCGGGCGCTAATGTCCACTCACCTGACGGGGCCTTAGGAGCCTGGGTGTGTTTTAGCGTTTTACTGCGGTCATAATGCCTTTCTGTGGAGGCGACCGCAGGTAAGGGAAGACGCCGCGCAAAGAGGGATGGAAAGGTAAGAAGGTATAGGGGCCCCAAATGGGAAACGAAAAAATGTGGGACTTGCGCGATCACGGTAAATACAATTCTCGTGAACGTTCACGTTCAGAGTCTTACTCTTTTTGGCTCTAACGTCACTTCTCGAGCGGGCCCATCGGTTCGGGCCCAATTATAACTCTACCAAGAATCTCTATCCGCTCGTTCTTCGTTCCTTTCGTTTCATTCCGAGACAATTACGGTATATTCAGACTGTACCTAATTTCATGTACAGTCCCAGAGTGCATTACGTTTATATACCTGGGACTTCCTGCCCGTTGAAAGTTCTTATTTGAAATAATAATAGAAAGGAAATCGAAATGAAGATTGCATCTCTCTCCACCCTCTCCCTCTCTGTCTCATTCTATAAATTTACGTCAAGTCACTAATTCGCGGAAACGAAAAGTCTACGCCTGGGTGGTCGCTTTTCTGGTTGGCAATACTGGTTCTACATTTCCATTATCCATGCATGGACCATCTGCTAGAGACGACGACAATTTCATAAGGTATATATCCTAAAATTTTTAGGACTCGTTCTCTTTAAAAAAAAAAAAAAAAAAAAAAAAAAAAA